AAGGATGCTCTGATTTTGATCCCCTTAAACAAAACAAGATATTTATATTTTCTGATTATGCTTATAGAAAACGAGGATAAATTTTAATATTAAACATATGTTTATATTTTATATGACAACCAATTTTTTCTGTACTAACTCGAAACTCGTTTAAAACACACAGTTTAATGTTTCTTACTTAATAAGATCATCTTACTATGTCTACTGAATAGTTTTCCTAAGTTTACAAAATGTGTGGACACAGAAACTGTAAATTACTGTAAAATGATGGGTTTAAATATAAATGAATTGCTGGCAGTATTTTTAAATCCATTACCAGACAAATAAATAGAAAACTGAACTAAATAGAGAATTATCAGTTAATTCTGATCTGTAAATAAAAAAAGTTAAGGTTACAAATACACACTAAAAAAAACCCAGGACCGAGCTTAGTGTAGACAAAAAAAAAATTCAATTATTTATACAAGTATTTATACTGTTATTTTTATTATTATCAGAAAAATTATCGTAAGATAGTTATCCTAATAATAATATTATCATTATTAATAATAATAATAGTAATAATAATATAAAATGATAACAAGTTAGATATAAGCAATATATAAACTAATAACGAGTATAGTGCTTTATAACCTTTCAAAGCCATCTGCTCGCAAAGTATTACGTAATAAATAAATTTCAAGTATATTTTTTAAACAAAAAATAACTAAAAAATAATCAAGGTTTATATTTATTTAGAACATAAAATCAGTCTATTTTTTCTTTTAAAATAAACAAGTACAAGCACTTTACTTTTTCTAATTAAAGTTATTAAAAATGACTGTAGAAAAGCGAATTCTGTTTCTTGTAGGTGATCTAGCAAAGATTAGAAATTCTGCTATATGTTGAGTTATATTTGTTTTTTAAGAGTGTTTTATAATCATTATTTATTACTATCCCATAGGTATAATAAAGATAAAATTTTGTTATGTTGTCGTAATGACTGAAATTTAAAGTAATGTTTTTCTGAAAGGCAAATGAGTATATTTACATAATTTATACAGATTGACACCATACCAGTTATAAAATCTAAGCAGTGTTGGTCTATAATAAAAAAAGTTATTAAGAAACATTTTACATTGCACTTTTTTCAATAAAGATATTTTTTTTTTTAGAAAAAAACAGGCAGAAACATGTAGGTAATCAAACTAAATTTTTTAACATCCCATAGGCATATTTAAATTAAACAAATAAAAAATATATTAATAACAGTTTTATTTTATGCACATTTGAAAAATTTGTAGTCCTAGTTTTCGCAAAATTATGAGTAAATATTTAAGGAAACCAACAAAGTACCTTGTTGCTTTGAAAATATATTGATACTAAGTATATGAAAATACATTTCTGTAAAGTGCTTGTGTTTTACCTTAATTAAATGTAGCTTTATTGCATGTTTTTAAGCACTTTTTACATATAATTATAAATAATTAATGTCTATAAAACAAGGCTGATAAGAATCATAAATAACAATTTAGATTTCAAATCATAAGCTTAAATTAACTTTCCAAGGTTAGAAAAATAGAACAAAAATATATATGCAATTATGATAAATCAGTTATTTATTGTTATGATCATTGTTTTTACTATTTTTGAGCTCATTAATGTTTTTAAATTGGGATTGTGTCAATAGGCTTCCTCAGGAAGTCGAAATGTATTATTTTAAACCGAAAATCAGAAATGCAATGTAACTTTTAGTTTTTGAGATTATAGTAGAGTAAAATGTAAAGGTATGTTTAAAAACGCCCAAAAGCGTACCTTTTTTATTTATTTTTTTCGTTTAATATTATATTTACAATGTACACATACAATAAAAAAGAGTTCATAAATAAATACTGAAATTAAATAATAATTAAAATAATGTTAAATGTTGATTGTGCTTAGAGTATATAATTCAGAAAGCGTGCTTTTGTAGCCTTTAGAGTTTTGATATGTTTTCATAATTTATGAAACAATCATTGTTGGTATTAAGGTATGAGCGAACTCGATACATAAAGCCAATCGTTTTGGTAATTTTAGACTGGATATAATTTATTTGGTAAAGCCAGGGCAAATTTTCATCGGCAATAATTACTAAGAATTTTATGCTTACTTGTTTTTTAATTGTTTTATCATTCTAGAAGAGTTCGGGAAGCTCAAGTAAAATGATAAACTCCTGTGTGTTTTTTTAATGAAATAAAGTATAATTTGTTTTTCTCAACATTATGTGAAAGTTTTTTTGCCCGAAACCAAATAATTAACTCTTTATTTATATCAGTATATAAACGTTTTATATCATTATTGGTGAGAAATTTATTGGTATCGTCTTCAAACATTAATAAGTTCAGCTTTAATGATGCATTACAAATATTGTTAATACAAATTAAGAATAGGAGCTGGCCTAGAAATGGACCCTGTTGTACTCCGCATTCAAGGCCTAAAGGTGAGTTTCCATTTATCCGTTTTTTCACGGGAACGGGAAAGGGAAGGAAAAAATAATCACGTGGGAATGCGTATTATAAGTTTTAATTTGTCCGCAATAAAACTGCGCATTCTCAAGTGATTATTTTTCCCTTTCCTTTCCCGTTCCCGTAAAAAACGGATGAGTGAAAACTCACCTTAATATTGCGAATTGTATTTTATAAAAATATTGCTTTCTATCAGTAAGATAGCTAAATAGATATGTTAAATTAATTGTAACATAATGCCTAATTATTTCTAAGAGATTGGAATGGTCAACTGTGTCGAATGCTTTAGATCTTTAGATACTCCTAAAGTATATTTGCTTTTGTCAAAACCTTCAGTTATTTGATTGACTCGTGACATTTCGATATTTGCATGCTCAGTTGAGTGATTTTTATGAAATCCAAAATGTTTTTGGTAGAATAATTTATTTATAATGAAGTATTCGAATACTTTATTATAAATTATGCGTTCGAACAATTTGGAGAATACTGACAGAATTGTCATAGGTCTATATTTTATAATGTCCGAATATTCATTAATTTGTAAATTGGGATTATTTTAGCTGTTTTAAGAGCTTCAGGAAAAATACCAAACTTCAGAAAAAGCCTCATTATATTAAATAGTGGTTTGATAAAGCTAGTTTTGTTAGAAATAACTATATTATTAGTTATTTCATTGAGTCCTGGGGATTTTTTATATTAAAGAAGAATAATCTGTTTCTTTATAGCTTAAAGGTAGATTTTAAATAATTCTGATGTTGGTCGTGTTTTATTGGTAGGTTTTAGACCGGCATTTGGGTAATATTTTAATAAACTCTTTAGAGATTAAGTTTTGACAGAATATATCAGTGTTTTTGATTTATATCTCTGAGGTAAGGAAGATACAATACTTTTGTTTTTTCCGACTATGTCATTAATAAGGGGCCATGTTTTTTTACTATTAGATTGTTTTGTTGTAATTAGCGTACTGTAAAAACCTTTTTTTGCATTTTTAACTATATTTATGTTTTATATATTTTTATTCATTTTCTTTGAAGAAATTAAACTAGATTTAAGAATGAGTCGTCTTAAATGTTTGTTTGTTTTTCTATTTAGATGATGACAATATTGAAGCAAGTAAGTTAAAAAGCATTTTTAAATTTTAAAAAAAAAATAAAAATACTTTTCAATATATATCTGTTTTCTTTGAGTTAGATTTAAAGTTTCAGGTTTTTAAAATCATAAATATTTTAAAATTATATATATAACTCATATATCTTTGTTTTTCTATTTAGACGTTGGTAATAATATGAAACAAGTAAGTTATAAAGCATTTTTAAATTTTTAAAAAGAAATAAAAATACTTTTTATTATATATCTGTTTTTTTCGAGGTAGATTTAAAATTTCAGGTTTTTTAAATCATATATATTATAAGATTTAAGAATGAGTCGACTTAAATGTTTGTTTGTTTTTCTATTTAGACGTTGGTGATAATATCGAAACAAGTAAGTTATAAAGCATTTTTAAATTTTTAAAAAGAAATAAAAATACTTTTCAATATATATCTGTTTTCTTCGAGGTAGATTTAAAATTTTAGGTTTTTAAAATCATATATATTATAATATTGAATTCTTTTTTACTTTAAAAATATCTATATTATAGATACACGGAGTCGTAGAAAAAAAATTAAAGTTTATTAATAAGGTAGTAGATTATTAAAGTAGATTAAATTGTTTGATCTATTAATCAACTTAATAACGTACTATTAATATGAAGATTTATTTTGGTTGTTTGTTTGTTAAAATTTAGTTAGAGTTTATTTAAAATTTAAATTCTTTAGTTAATCAAGAGAGATCTAATAAAGGTATTAATTACATTAGTTGAATGTGGCATTTAATATATATTTTAAAGATATTTTAACATCTAAACATTAAAGTGCTTTTATTGTTTCAATACAGAAGTGAAGAAGGAAATAAGTCAGTGTTTTTGCTATTAGATATTTGTTAATAGGAATTTGTTTATTTGTACTGCCACTGGAATTTTTAAAAATCAAGTTCTTTAGCTTTATTTTATACTTTCTTTTTTTGGAAGTTGGAACAAAAACTAAGTATAAATTATGATTAGTTTAATAAATAAAGCATTAATATTTAGAAGATTTAAAGTTTACTTTAGTTTATAGTTTTAGTTTAGTTTATAGTTTTGTTTTTAGCTTTAGTTATTTTTTTCTTAGACAACTTTATGGATGAAATGAGGGGGATGGGTAAAACAATTATTTAGATATGTATATATTTATATGTTAACATTATTTTATCGATTATTTTATATTTATTTAAGTATATATTTGTCTTTAGTGTCTGGTGGAAGTATAGCTGGTAGGGCTGTGTTTTATATTTTATATGTTTTGTATGGAGAAATATGTGCAATAGGTGGAAAAATTAATTAATAAATATGACACTTTTGAACTGGTTGCATTATTGCCCTATATATTTATTAAAATACAAAATGTTGCATATTTAACCTTTTTTAATTTGCTCTCTCTTTTTTTTTTTTAGCATCTTTTGTTTTAAATGAAAATGGTGAGTTTATGTTTTTTTTTTTTTTTAAATAATTGCAAATGTATAATTTTTATTATATTCTTCTATTTGTAACTTTAGATTCCTTTTCATTTGAAGAATACAAAAATTACCACTCCCAACACCCGGGACCTCTCTCAGAGAGGTCCTTCAAAAAATGGAAAGATCATGGCGGAATGGATAAGCCCTCCTTTAAATGGAGGGCTCATCCATACGGGGGTGTTGGGAGACACCGAAGAAAAAACAGCAACCAAAAGGTTGTAAATGTCTTCTATCAGTAGAGATATTTATGACTTTTTAGTTGCTGCTTTTTCTTCGGGTTTTTTTTTTTAATTCGGTGTTTTTTTTTTTAATTTTGTAATTTATTTTTTTAATATATATTACGTTGTATATTTGATTTGTTTTGATCTTTTTTAATGAAAATTTTAATTGTTTTCTAACCAATTAAACCTGACTTCAAATTTAAAGCCCTCTTAAATACCCCTCCCTAAAAAAAAGATATTGGTTTTAAAACTGAACACCATTGGCAAAATGCTTACAAAATTAGCTAGTTTTTAAAAATCTGTTTTCTATTCAATACACTTTTTTTTAAATATACTTTTTTAATATACTTTTCTATAACAATCCTACTAATATGGAATCACGTAGCTTTTTAAATATGTTTAATTGTCGTCCCTATCGGTAATAAATATTTTAAATTATTTGATATGGTTTTCTTTTCAATAGGCTATGCTTGGCTCCTCGGTGCTGTAAATGGTGGCTTCAACTTTGTTTTTTTAAGAAAAATGTGTTTTATATACGCTTCTGTTTTAAAATATTTTTGTTAAATATTTAACTATATATCATGTAAATAAATTTCTTTTAAAGATATGTAAACTTGATACTTGCTTTTTTACGGATTTTCAAAAAGTGAACAAAGGTTTAAATATATTTTTTAACTGTCTTTTATGATTTTATCAATTTTATTAAAGCTGAATAATTACTTCAACAATATTGAGTAAAATTTAATTGCTTTAATTATTAACCTGATCTATACAAAAATTAATGAAATAAAACTAATAATTTAACGCCAAGTTAAGGCAAAATGTATTCCGGACATTTTATAAAATTAGTATAAATATGGATTGGATGTAAGCCGAAATAAATATGTTGATACACATTAGCTATTAAAGTAAATCCATATATTCCTTTATTATTTTTTTATAAACAAGTTTCTGCTGGATTACTAATTAAAAAAAAGGTTGGTTTAATAATAATCTTTATCATAACAATATAGGATCTGAATGCAGGGCTAAGCCCTTTTCGGAATTGCAATATATTTTTCAACTTATAGTTTTTCCAGATATCCAACTTCTATGCCTACAAGTTTGGGTGTAATATTTTAGATGTTTTAAAAATATTTAAAAAGTATATTAATAATATTGAAAAGTTTAGGTGCGATTGTGACATATTTTTAAGCTCTTCACTCAGTAAAATGAAAAGTTTCTAAAAAATAGAAACGACTAAGCTTAAAGCAAAATTGAGAGTAGAATATATTCCCAATATTTACCTAAACAATTTTACGGAATTTGAAAATTTGACATCGATGTTCTGTGCACATAATTCAAGTCATTTTTAAATACTACATGGTTGTGATTTGAGCATTCAATGTCTAAACATTGCAAAAGAAATGGTTAACTTTATCTTTAATGAAGCTAAAAGTTCTCTTTAACTAAGAAGCCAAGAAAAATAAAAGTGAGCTCAACTAAAAAAATGTATAAATAAATTTATATTTCATTAGAGAAAGTAAATAAAGATTAAATTGTTAGTAATTTTTTATTTACTACTAACCCGTATTACGGGTTGCTTACTTTATAAATAAATTTATATTTTATTAGAGAAAGTAAATAAATATCAAATTGTTAGTAATGATTTATCTACTACTAACCCGTATTACGGGTTGCCTACTGCTAGTAAGTAATATTAATATTACTTTAAAGTCTATAAATAGCTTGTCATTTTTTTTTTTTTTTTTTTTTCTTTAATTTTTTTTTTTAACATTTAAGACTATATACTTATAGTAATGGAAAAAAAAATTCAATTTTTTTTATTTTTTTTAACGAGATTTGTTTTATATATATATATATATATATATATATATATATATATATATATATATATATATATATATATATATATATATATATATATATATATATATATATATATATATATATATATATATATATATATGTATATATATATACATATATATATATATATATATATATATATATATATATATATATATATATATATATATATACATATATATATGTATATATATATATATAACTGCTATTGCTTCAGTGAGAATCTTCCATCATCATGGCTTACATTTAAAAATTCGTACAAAAATTTGAAGTTTTTCAAAGTTGAAATCGGGATTTTTTTTCAGAACTTGTGATAAATGATTTGAATTAATATTAATATGCAATAATTTATCGTTTTGTTTTTTGAAACGCTTATATGAATTTTCAGAGAGGTTAAACGTAACAGAAAGTTAAATTTATGTTTATTTCGATTTGAAAGCCAATATTAAAAAAAAAATTAATAATATCTTTTCGAGTCTTATCGAGCTGTGGACCAGATTTTTTACGCATTACTATTAAACCATCGTCGCATTAAGGCCTAAATCATTTATAATGATTATTTTACTTAATAAATCTAAAATGTATAGTCCAACAAACTCACAAATTTCTGCTCCGTCATAACTGCCCATTGTCACATCAAAGCAATCATGCATGTTTTTCAAAATTTTCTTAATCAGGTATAAAAGGTGGGGTATTTTTTGTTTTAAATTCAAAATTATCATTATCTTGGTTATTATTAAATACCTCAACTGTGTTTATATTTGGTTTTAAAAAAAAATGGGCTTTCCAACGAATTCTTTTAATAAAATGCTCAACTTTTTCAATCAAAGAAACAGTATAACTTTTTTTATCTAGTATAGGTATATTTTTCAACGAGTAAGTAAAATTATTAGTTTCCATATTTACACGGCATGTAAAAATACAATTAAGAGTGCTCAACAAATGTTAATTAGGAGCCTAATCGAAATCCTAAATGAAAGAACTACAGAAAATTGTAATTGTAATCTTTTAAAAATAAAAAGTATTCAAAAGACACCATGCTGTCATAATCTATTTGGGAACTAAAAGATAAAAATATGGATAATTTTAAACTGAATTAGACCATCCTTAAAACAGCGCTTTCATACAACAATATTTCCGAAAAATGCATACTACGTCTACGAGAAAAACTTCAAATCATCACACATGCAAACCAAAAATGTTTGTTAAACAAAAAATCGGAATTAGTTTCTTAATGCAGGCACGAAAATAAGTTTTTTTTTAAAAAACTATAAAAATAAGTGAGCTCAAATAATAGTTACATTATATCCCCCTTTTTTTAAAAATATTTTGTATAATAAAAAGCATAAGTATTAATTTCTAAAGAATTCTTTTTGCAATAGTGTCAGAAAATTCCACAAATGTGTGAAAATTTACAGTAGTTAAAACATTTGCGACTTCCTGTAATTTAATTTTTTGGTATAAATTGAAGTTTTATTAATTTGATCATTCATTTCTGAAGAGTCTTTGTTGATGAAACACAGTGTTAAATGAAGAAAATATTTTTGTTAAGTGATTTTCTACTAATTTATAATTACTCTGTTATTTTAAGAACATTGAGCACTCTTTTTTGTAAAATACATTTTTAAACTGTTATAATATATACATGTATTTATTTATATATTTACATATATATATATATATATATATATATATATATATATATATATATATATATATATATATATATATATATATATATATATATATATTATACTTAATATATAAAGCTTATATATAATTATATATATATATATATATATATATATATATATTTATATATATATATATATAATTATATATATATATATATATATATATATATATATTTATATATATATATATATATATATGTATATTTATAATTATATATATATATATATATATATATATATATATATATATATATATATATATATATATATATATATATATATATATGTTTTTAAATCGGCTTTGAATTTCAATCTTCCTTGCTTTTATTATTGCTTCGTTTTCTTTTCCATGCACTTGCCATTGATTTTCAGGCAAAACTAATTTATAAAAAATGTGTAACATTGCTTCGACGTATATGCATGTGAAGAATACTCAAACCATATTGTAGAGCTACTGGGTTAACATTAAATACTCCTTTTGTAAAATTTACTAGTTTATTCATATCTTTCGAAGAACAACCACACACAGTACATTGTTGAAACGAAGATGTCTTTGTAATAAATGCTTAAATCTTTCGATCTATTAACGTCAAACGCAGACTGCATTCAACCAATAATTTCTTTCCAATAGTTTAAAATAATCACAACTTCTTCGAGTTCACCAATTTCTTTATCATATATCTCCTTTAATCGAATTACGTATTCTTTACTTTCCTTTGCAAATTCGATTCTCTGTGGACGGCAAAATCTAGCAGACTGAGAAGTTTATTAGTCCATAAAAATTTTTCACAGCTTGTTTGCAATCTTAAAGGAATCATAGATGTCACAAATAATGAACTATCGCTAAAATTTTCACTTAGATCTTGATTGAACCTTGCTTGTTGCGTGCTACCGTCAAAGCCATAAGAAACTATAAATTTGCATTGAACAACATTAATTTCTGGAATTACTTTTTCAATAATTTCATGCTGCAATTTACTAATTCTTTCTAGAGTATCTTTTAATAAATGCTTTCATTCTACTTCAATGCAATTTTCTGTTTGCAATATTTCACTTGGACAACATTGAGATTTTTCAGCAGATACCAACTTATAAGGAGGGAAAATATCACCACCATGAGTTTTAGCTGCAAATCTTACTTGATTATACTGATCTTTGGACGAATTCGTGTCAAAAAGAAACGATAACGCTTGTTCCGGTGGCATTCTCACAACTTCAGAATTAATCTTATTCAATACAGCAGCCAAATTTTGACTTTGAATAACTTGTTTGATTAAATGAAATAAGTCTTTTTTATCATTTTGTGCAGCGACGGTTGCAGCAACTCTGAGGTACATTTCAGTTTCGGGTTCGTTATTAGATACAACATTAGCAATAACTCG